TCCCATGATCCTCCAAGTACCCACAACTTCAGGATCTGAGGGCTGGCGCTAGTGTTTGTTGGTTTGCTGCCCTCCGCCTTACAATGCCGGAAGCCCGAAACCCTAAACCCTAAACCCTGGACCCTAAACCCTAAACCCTAAGCCCTAAACCCTAAACCCTAGAGTCAGGAAGGGCTTCGAAGTGGGCAGGTATCGGGGGCCTTAGTTGCTCTGCAAGTAGTATGAGTTCGTGTAATCAGTCGATATAGGCAGTTTTCTAAACTCGGGTCCTTTTTAGGGTCCTGAAATAAGGGTGCCGTACAATATTGGGGACGAAAGAAAGGGACCTAATTTAGAGAACTACCCATATGCTTTGGAGTGCAGGACCTTGGTGCGGCATCTCGGGCTAACTTGGTTTTGCAGGCTCGGACTTGAGCTTTGCAAGGCCCTGAAGTGTGCTTAGGGTTTAGGGTTTAGGGTGGGTTTAGGGTTTAGGGTTTAGGGTTTAGGGTTTAGGGTTCAGGAGCAGCATTCGGACCTATTGCAATGCCGACCTCGAGACCCTCATCCTACCCTCACTTCTCTACCCTCACTTCTCCACCTCCTGAACCCCTACACCCAAAGCCTTAAACCCTAGCACCCCAAACCCTAAAAAATCAAACCTTCATTTCTCCACTTGGAACCTGGCCCCTGAATGGGCTTCTTTCGCTCGATCGGGCGTGGGAGCAGCGGGGATCATAAACTCGCTTCCGCTTACTCTTCACACTATTTGTGCACTAATATAGAGAACCATCCGTGAGTCGTCCTGTCGTTGATATTCCTACCACAATGACTCCGGCAGTTCTATTCGTGTCGGAACTATGATCTATACCTTTACAGCTACAGTTTTTCTGCATCTGGTGGGATCAAGAGCATCATGCTGAGTTTATTGTTGATGTCAAGACGCGCTAAACCCTAAACCCTAAACCCTAAACCCTAAACCCTAAACCCTAAACCTCAACCCAAGATTCTACGATGCTGCTCTGTTCTTCATCGAGAGCTTTCCTCAGAAGACCTTCGTCGGCGCCTTATGGAGCGAACTGTGCGATGTTGTCGGCTAAGGCAGTTTAGGGCTAGGGTTTAGGGTTTTAGGGTTTTGGGGGTTTAGGGTTTAGGGTTTAGCTAGGGTTTAGGGGTTTAGGCGTTTGGGGCTCAGGGTTTCGGCTTCATAGTTTCAAGGTAGTAGCGCCATGTTGTGTCCAGTAGGGCTTAGATTTCCAGGGGCGGGGCTTGGGGTTTGGGAGTTCGGGCGGGTTTGCCGTCTGATGTGGTTGCAACTCTAAGGGACTGGGAAGTTGAAATTAGTGGCAGTTGTCAGGGTGTTTTCGGGATGTAAGATAGAAGGCTTTGTGGATAGCAGATCTTGCAGCCGCGTCACTCAGCAGACTGAGCATGTGCCCTGGTTCGGAGTAAGTAGGATAAATTAGGGTTTGGGGTTTACGGTTTAGGGTGCCAAACCGCGCCACCAAGGAAGAATCGCATACAGTGCCAGGCTTTAGTAAGGGGGTTGACAGTGAGTTCTCCGGTTGGGTTCTCTGTGGGAGTTAGATGGGGTTTTTGTCAGGGTTCAGAAGGGTGGGTGCTCGGTTAAGTCGTCATCCAAAACCCTAAACTAAAGCCTAAACCCTTAAAGACCTGAAACCCTAAAGCCCTAAACCCCTCAACCCCCAAACCCTCCATCCTAAATGGCCTCCGCCCAGGTCTTCGCCAATTGCGAGGGTGACTGGGAGCCTACCCAGCAAGCGCCACGAGGGTTTAGGGGGGGCCCAAACAATTACCAATACTATGTTGGGGGTTCATTACTATATATACAGTATAATATACACCAAAACCCTATTCTATTCGTTAAGGCCTCTACATTTTAGGGCGTAGGGGCTTAGGGGTGAAGGAGGTATGGGTGTGGGGTTTAGGGTATAGGGTTCAGGGTTTAGGGTTCCGAGAGCAAATCACCAAAGTTGGTTCAGGCGTTGATACCGTTGCTTGGAGGCAGTATCAAATTCCCTGAAAGGGCCCTAAACCCTAAACCCTGAACCGTCTAGCTGCCGGCTTTGATTATGGGCGGAATGAAGTTATAACGATGAAGACTTGCATGCTGTTGCTTGCAAGGGCTGCGGAAGGGGAGAAAGGCAGTAAGTCCAGGGCTTAGGCTGTCGGATGATGACCTATAGTCTTTATGTAAGTCTGGCAGCGCTCCCCAAACTAAACCCTAAACCCTAGACCCTAACCCCTAAACCCTGAACCCAGACCCCTAAACCATAAACCCTAACCCCTAAACCCTAGACCCCCAACCCTACTCCCATGGTTGCGGCCGCTGTTCGGGCCAGGGTTTGCAGGTTTGCTGCTGCAGACCATAAGATGCGAAACCTTTAACCCCGGTTTAGGGTTTAGGGTTTAGGGTTTAGGGTTTAGGGTTTAGGGTTTAGGGTTTAGGGTAACCCCAAGCCTTAAACCCCACGAAGCCCGAGAATCCCCGAAGGCTCCCGGTTCGGGGCTATGGCATTGGTTTTAGAGGTTTCGGGTTGAGAGTACAGGGATTCCGGTGTTTAGGGTTCAATATAGAAATATATAAGATATGTATATATATATATGTATATATATATATATACATATACATATATATACATGTATATGTATATATGTATAATGTGTACATATATATATATATATATATAGAGATAGGGTTTAGGGTGTCGGGTTTACGGTTGAGGGTTCGGAAGCCCCAAAACACCTGAAGGAGCTTCGCGGCGGCCTTGGCGCTCCGCCGCGACGCGGTGCAGATGCGCCAGGGCGCATGGCCAGGCCTGCTGCCCCAAACCCTAAACCCTAAACCCTAAACCCTAAACCCTAAACCCTAAACCCTAAACCCTAAACCCGGTTTAGGGTTTTTAGGGTTTAGGGTTTAAGTTTGGGGGCTCCAGGGTTTCAGGCTTGAGAGCTTTAAGGTTTCTTCCAGGCTTTTGGGCTGTGGGGCCTTGAGGTGCAGGTCAGAAACATCAACGCTGCTGTTCTGAATTGTACGGTTGTGTATTCAGAAATCCTTTTGGAGTTTAGGGTGTTTTGAGCAACTAATTGCCTGAAAAATTAGGAAAGGGCTTTGGGGTTCCTTAATTTAGTTATAGTAGAATGGGCCCCCAAAACCAATTCTACTCGTAGTTATTCAGGCCCCTACATTAGGGTGTTTTGAACAACTACTGTACCCAGGTGGCTGGCCGCAAGGCAGGCTGGCGTCACCCGGGCGAGGCAGCAGCCGGGAGGCATGGAGTTCGAAGTCCTTAGGGTGTACTACAGGGGCCTAAACTTATTATGATTATAGTATAATATATCCCAAAACCTTATTCGAATTATTAAGGCCCCTACATTAGGACTTTAGGGTTTATCCAGGGCTTTCTGTTTGCAAGGCTTTCGGGGCTTTGGGTTGGCGCTTTGAGGTTCAAGACTTTAGGGCCTGAGTCGAAGGGAACTTCACAGGGTTTACGGAATCTTGGATTCTTGGGGTTAAGTGGTTTTGGATGCAGTAGGGTTTAGGGGCTTAGGGGTTTAGGGTTAAGGGTTTAGGGTTAAGCGTTTAGGGTTTAGGGGCTAAGTGGTTTTTGGGTGCAGGACTTTAAGGGGTTTCGGGGTCGCTTCAGGCCATTTAGGGTGCAACGGACTTAAGTTCCTCCGCCGGAACAAGAATCAGCAGCTCCCCCCCCTTCAGGATCTCAACTCCCAATGTGACAGGGCCTCGTGCCCTTCCGGTTGTCCATTGTTGGGGCTTTCGTAAGAGTTCTATAGCAGTTTCTGCAAGGGTCCGTACAATGGTTTCTACAAGAGTTGCTGTGCAGGTGTAGGGGGCAAAGGGGTTCTTTGAGAAAGCATGGGGCGTCAAGAGCTAGCGAAAGCAAGCAAGCCCTGGATCCTATGCAGAGCCTTGAACCTGTTCTCCGATTGTCCCTAGACCAAAACCCCGCAAACCCTTGCCAGCCAGAGAAGTTAGACAAGGCAACGGCGTCCTGACGCTGCGGCTCGGCATGGTTCATCATGGGTTTACCTTGCTGAAAGCATCCACTGAGCTGCTGATTCTCGAAGCCACTCTTCCCATCATATCCTAGCTCGAAGTTCTCTTCCCTGATCAGCCCTGACCTTGGATTTTCCCCCTAAACCCTAAACCCTAAACCCTAAACCCTAAACCCTAAACCCTGAACCCTAAACCCTAAACCCTGAACCCTAAACCCTAAACCCTAAACCCTAAACCCTAAACCCCATGCAAGAATCTTAAGCTGAGATGGGCAGTATGTGTCCTACCGGATACTGTGCAGAGTCCTGGTTCAACTCGACTCCGGGATTCCTGAGCAGATCCTGAGGCCTAAGCCCTAAGCTGAAGACTCCAAAAGACTTTTGTTTTGGATTTAGGGTTTAGGGTTTAGGGTTTAGGGTTTAAGGTTTAGGGTTTAGGGTTTAAGGTTTAGGGTTTAGGGTTTAGGGTCTAGGGTAACCTGAAACCCTGAATCTAGATCTTAAGCCCGGCGCTGCAGATCCTGAACCCTAACGCCTGAACCCCACCCCTTGAAAACCCTCAACCGGGGCGCCGTGGATGGATGGTCAGAACCTGACAAGCACCAAAAAGGGGTTGAGCTTTGCGGTCGGAGAACCCTGTTGAAATTGTTAGGGCACCTGTATTACGAGATACATGCGTATAAAGTCCTTGCAGAGCGCTATAAAACCATCATATAGGGGCCTGCATAATTAGAATAGGGTTTTGGGGCCCATTATACTTTACTTATAATAAGAAACCACAAAAATAGTATTGGTAATTATTTAGGCTCCTACATGAGAGATCCGGTTGCAGGGTGTCCACCTGACAATGAGCCGATTGCAAGGTCGGGAACGTCTTCCATGCGGCTGAGGTGAACCTGGTTGCTGAGCTGCTGGGTTCAGGGATAACAGGTGGGCAGTTAGGGTAAGAACTGGACTTTACAGTGTCTTTAGAGGGTCTCAGTGGGTTTTGCCGTTCTAGCTACCCCAACCGAGAAACCCTAAACAGCAACAGACAATGCTAGAGCTGCTACAGCCTATCACTTCATAGAAGGCCTTGGAGAAATCCGGAAAGGAACCCTAAAAGTTGGGCTTTCAAGAAAATTAAGGTACCTGTAACACTATCCACGAACCGCCCGTGGGTATCTGAGCTGCGCAGCAAAAAAGCAAACGAGATTGGCCTAATGTAGGGGCCTTAATCATTAGGATAGGGTTTTGGAGATCCTTATTATAATTATAGTAGAACGTACCCCCAAACCCTATTCTAATTATTAAGGCCCCTCTACTAAATCCAAGGAGCCACACCTTGCAGTAGTCGTAGACGAAGATCAAGATTCTGTTGGCGGTGGTCAGGATGAATGCCAGGATGATGATGCCAATGATGTTGATGATACAGGTGGCAAGGCGCCAGATGTTGTGCTTGCACAAGGACAACTTTTGAGGACGATGATGGTGATGACGACGGTGATGGTGGTGATGACGATGATGATACTTCCTCTGCATATGAAAATTAGTGAGGATGCTGACCAGTCATGCTCCTGAAGATGGTCAGAGTGATGATGCGAAGGAGGATGATGCTGCTTGTGATCACGGTTTGGAAGGCAAGCCAAGCTCTCAAACCTGTGCTCCAGCATGGACCCCCGAACCCTGAACCATAAACCCTAGAGCCTACACCGTTTCGTTCTTGAGATTTAGGTTCGTGCGGAAGACAGCGAGTAAGGTAGCTATTGTAATTAATTGGTCCCGAAACGCAAATGAATTTCCAACCCCAAGACAAAAGAAGGATTTGATATCCAAGGTCCCAAGCCCTTGAACCCCGATCCGCGGAGAACTGTCAGCCACAACCGCGAACCTACAGCCCAAAGCCTTAAACCCGAAGCCTATAACACTAAGCCCCAAACCCTGCACCTGACATCCTAAAGCCTAATCCTTTAAACTCCGACGGCTGTTGGAACTCCAGACAAGAACTTGAAAGGAAGGTTAACGGGACCTGTAAAAGACCCCTGTGACAGTAAGGAACCGCTGCAAGCCCCAAAACACAGGAGTTTACTATTACTGTTACTACTACTATTACTAATATTATTGCTACTACGACTAGTACTACTATTACTACGTTTTACTATTGCCAGTACATCTACTATACTGCATCATGCTACACCGTTATTTGTCACCCGAGGTCGTTGTGGGGCGATGTGCCCAACGTGGTCAACGAGGTGCTGCCGCAAGTGCAGCTCGACGGGAGCCGACTGGGTTTACGGTTTTGGGGTTTATGGTTCAGGGTTTAGGGAGTCTTCTGAAAGAGTGAGGTTACAGACTTTCAGTTTGGGTTTTGAGGGCATGGTTTCGGGGTTGCTAAAGCAATCGCTCCGAAACAAAAGCAGCAGCAACCGTTTTAATACTCGCGATATCAAGATCACTAGTGGCATCAACATATGCCAATTCATGCTGTTGTCCGGTTTGGGTTGCAGAGTTTAGCGTAGCTTCGCGATTTTGTGGTGGTTGCGTTGAACATTTTCTTGATTGTGGCAGCTAGGCATCGCTAAAAGTCTGGAAAAGTAGTTGGGCTTGCAACACCTTACACACCCCAACACCCAGCGCCCTAAACCATTTTCGCAGATAATTGCTGATCATCTGATCTAGTGTCAAGAGCTGAAACGCAGTGAAGGTACAGCTAGATGCATTGATGGTTTTGCTGGCCCAAGATTTCACGCAGTTTGTCGCCCTCAAACCTGTAAGTTGGATTCGAAGATTCGTTGTCGCCCTGAGCAAGCAGAACCCTCTATCTCGCCTTCGTTTCTCAGGCAAGTTGACATGGTCTCCTACAGCTCCTTGTCTTATCCTGAACCCTTAAGATAGAGGCCTTAGTAGTTAGAATACGGTTTTGGGACCCATTTAACTATAATAGTGAGAAGGAGCCCCGAAAATAGTATTGGTAATTATATAGGCCCCTACATTAACCCAAGCAGCATGGAATTGGGGGGGCTCAGGAGGTTTGTTTCGTCCCTAGCATGTTTAGACGTGACTAGTTTCGGTCATCTGGTGGGTCATGCCTAAACCCTAAACCCTAAACTAAACCCTAAATCCTAAACCCTGTGTAAGATGTAGGGCCTGAAAGAGGGCTTTTGGGTGCGGTGCTGAGATGCTCCTCTCGGGGCTCGGATCGGCTGTCGGT